TTCTTACTTTTTATACTGCTAAGTTGGAGATACTCAAAACTTTCTCTTCTAATGCATTGTATTAATTACTAATTAACAATACATTAAATTCTCTAATAATTAAAGACTATACTAACTTTTTGGCCAACTATACAAAACTTCGCGGATTCTCTTTTACACGTCTTACCTTTATTCGAAGGATTCACCAAACTATGGCTGACAAATGTAATTTTTACATTTCGTCATTGCATGACCTACCGACTTTAAACAAAACTTAATACCGAGTAATAAATTTTCATGGTATGAAGTCCACTCAAACCAATGCATGGTGTATTTCTACCCAGTTCAGTTTAGGATACGTACCAATAGAACTTCATTTCTTCTTATTTTACTCTACAGACATTTATACGTATATATTAAGAAACAGTCCCTTTTATTCAGTAAGATTCATTTATAATACTAACACAAATTTTGCTAACTCTTTGAAATATTTTACAAAAATATCTTGTATTTTTTTGCACAGATCCTACTTAAATCACCAAACATAGATTGAACCTTGATTTTTCCTTCATGTAAAAACATTACTCGGATTCTTAATATGATTCCACCATTTACCGCAGAACTTTATAAACACTACTATATTTGAACTTATCACAGCCTTACTCTCTTAACAAGGTACAGAAGACTGAATTATATTTTAACGACATATAAGAATATCCACAGTGTAACGTATTATTTTAAATTTGAATTATAGTCACATTTTGTGAAGGAGAACTTAAAGTCTATAATACACATGGAATTAATATTCAGCCATGAAAATGAAATTTTATCACATTTTTCGCAACTTGGGATATAACAATTTGTTAATTTGGAATATTTTTAACGTATTCTTTGTAACTTAACTGAAAGATACCCATATTTTACATTGTCAATAATTTATTTAGCACTGAACTCTTACAGCCTTTTGAGAACGAAATTTAATTTATTATACCTGACAAATAACTCCTATATAGTTATGATGCATTACACGAAATATTGAGTAGAGTTCCAATTAATGATCCAACATAGTAATTAACAGTCATTTTAAGATGGAAATTTCAAACTGGCATAATGAACTTTTACAGCTTTTTTTGAGATTTAACTGCTCATAGATAGTAAATAAAATTACACACAAATAATCATACATAATAGGTAATAATGACGGAAACTATATATAATGATCTATTATAGTCATCGACTTTTTAACGCATTTTAATATGACTTATCATCCACACTTTTCAGAAAAGCATTATTTTAATTAAACATTGGAGCCATACAATCCTGCGCACATGTTTTTATTTATCATGAGCATGACACATAATAATTAAATAAAATGCATTTCACAAAGTACGAAAAGCATTTCTCTTTTAACCGACTGTATTCTTAAGAAAAGGTGCAGTATGGAATGCTTAGAACACTCGGTGCCACAGTTCCACATTTACTCCACGCATTGATAAAAATATATATGTATTTTAAAATTAGTTATACAAATGCAAATATTCAAACAGGAATACTTCACAAATTAGACAAAAGTTAGGTACATAGTGAACTTAAGTGATAAATACAGAAAAGCATGTAAGGACCAAGGAACAAAAATGTATTCGTGGGAAACTTTTTAAGATAAATTTTCTCTATTTTTGCACATGGTTTGCATTCTTCGTTTTAGATTAAGCAACTATTCAAGATAATTCCTGTATAACTAGGAATTTTATTCACACTTGTTAGTCATGTAATTTATTAGAACAGTAGGAGACATATAGCAAAAGTGAAATATAAAAATGGAATAAGAAAATGCCGTATTTCAAACAAAATTAGTATCTGAGTATGCAAAACATGAACTAGATATGAATAGTTTTTCTGAAAATGTTCCGGATGGGATAAGTCAGGAAAAAGAGCCTTGACTAGTTTCATGAACAGAACATGAAAAATAATGATGAATTTTTAATTTTATTTTGGCCGTAGTACATTTATTTATACTAAAATCTTCCATTTGATTGACTCTAGTAGATAGAATATGAGAGTTTGGGGCCATTTGGCGCTGTGGCGCTGGGGCTGCGTGACGCTCACAGGGGGGAGGGAATTTACAGAGGAGTACGTCATAAACTACGTCATTAACTACGAATGTGCAACATCCTGTTCGTGACGTCATCACGCATTATCACCTCGAATTATCTTGCTATTGCTAGGTCAGCCACATGTTTCATCCCGTTTGTGTTGTAATCCGGTTTCATATCCGCACTTATCGATTGACGTAGAACTCCCCGCTGCTCTGATGTCATACTAAATCCGCAATCTGATTGCAACATGTTAGAATTTCTAGTACATTCTATTTAGTTCAGCAACGACCGCTAGAGGGCAGTAGTCGTATCCATAGCCCTTTCTGATTGTTTCTCATGGATCCTTACCATGGCCTATATAAAGAGACGCTGGACCCTTTTTCATCATTTTAATTCACTAAATAATGGTAAAAGTTCTGAATTCTCTTTTAATGCATTAACTGACATTTATAAAATGATTAAGGAGGTTTGTGATATATTTAAAGGATTTTCTCTTATGAATATTTTAAAAAAGATTTCTGAAAAAATGCCGGAACTGCAAAGTGCAGAGCATGCTATTGATAAGTTATTTGTACTGTTCTCGATGTTCGAAGAAATTTTTAGTTCAACTAGCAATGTGTAATTATGTCTGTTGTATATACCTGTATAAATAGCATTACATGGAACGCGAATGGACTTGCCCGTAGATTCAACGAGCTACGGCATTTCGTAAATGAGTAGGCCCTTGAATTTTTGTTCCTACAAGAACACCGCCTGGGCCCCTCCACTCCAATTTACGTGGAAAATTATTGTGTGTATAAATCAAATAGACCAGCTACTACTCAAAGTACTCGAGCAGGGAGGAACAGCACTCCTTGTCAAGCGCTGCATTCCTCATTATGAAATAACAATTCCACAGTTTTTAGCCGTTGAGGCCACAGCTATTTCCACACACACAACAACACTAATACAACTACACTCTTATCTCCACCTATATCCCTCCCAACAGGAAACTCCGTAATGTTGAGAGTGATCCAACATTCTTCTCTCATTTGGTATACACGTTATTATAGGTGGAGACCTTAATGCAAGACATCGCGCGTGGAACTGCTATAATTCTAATACACACGGCAGAATCATACTCAACTTGGCTCATACAGCCCCTTTACGCATAGCAGCTCCTAACACCCCAACACGTTATACTGCTGGTTCCACTGGAATTATAGACTTCTATCTACTCAAAAACACCAGTGTTCCACTGGATGTTACGGTATTAGATGAGTTGTCTTCTGACCATAATCTAGTTAGACTAATTTTGGATATCAGTAGCTATACCACATCAGACAAAAGAGCCTTCAAACTGACTGGCGTGTTTTTGCGAAAGCTCTAGACCAGTGTTTCTCAACATTTTAGTATTCACGGCCCAATTTTCAATCATAATTTTCATCGCGCCCCCCCCTCCCCACCGCATACAATAAAATGTATACAATAATAATATATTTTGAGTATTTTGGCGCTAAACCTACACTACAATCTTAATTTTAAACTTTACAGATTACCAAGAATACGGAAATTTATTGACATTTTGCTACACCGATCCTCAGCATTGAAAAAACAAGAATCCTATGCCTTTTTATTGCTCTTGCGTCCCGCCATGTCGGGCATTCTCACGGTTTCGCGAAAAGTTTCCATTTGTCTGGAATTTGTCTGTTCAGCTTAAAAGTTAAGTTAGGAGCGTGCGCAGATGTGAACAAATGTTTCTCATAGGGAGAAGGAGAAAGTTCTATGATGCCAATTTCAATTCCAGACAATCTCATTCGAGTCGATCCTTCTATCACTATTGAATCTAATCTGAATGTGTATGTTATATATATTTTCGTGTAATTGCAATTCACCGTATTAAATATTCACGGCATCAGACTTATGCAGAATCATGGATAAATTTTTAAGCGGGCGTAAGCGAGCATTAGACGATAGACAAGCATCAACAAGTACACAGACGAGCGTGGTTCCGAAAATAAAATCAAGAATACTTAAATTTTGGGTTCACTAGTACTGAAGTAAATGAAGAAGAAGGCCCCTGTGTATCATTTGCTCAAAATGTTGGCGGCAGACAGCATGAAACCTAATAAACTTAAACGACATTTGGAAACGCTTCATAGTGAGTACGTAAACAAACCCAGAGAATTCTTCGAATTAAAATTAAAATCATATGAAAAGCAAAAATCATTGTTTAAAAAAACTTTGTCTGTGAATGAAAAAGCTTTAATTGCCTCTTACAAAAGTTTCATATAAAATAGCCAGATGTAAAAAGCCTCACACCATTGGTGAAGAGCTTATTTTGCCAGCCGCAATGGAGATTAGAAAATTATGTTTGGAGATAATTTTGCAAAACAATTGTCTATACCTCTTTCAAATGATACTGTTGCCCGTCGAATTGCTGATATAGCTGAAGATGTAGAGTGTCAGCTTTTGTCGAAGTTACGTGACAAATTGTTTTCAATACAACTCGATGAGGCAACAGATAGTAATAAAGATGCTCATTTCATTGCCTATGTTAGATTTTGTGATGATTTGTCAGTAGTAGAAGAATTACTTTTCTGCAAACCAATAGAACTCAAAGCAACAGCACTCGCATTATTTGCTATCTTAAATGATTTTATGAACGAGGCAAACATACAGAATGGAAAAATTGCGTCGGAATATGCACCGATGGTGCTCGTTCTATGTCCGGAAGATTCCAAAGTATTCAAGAACTTGTGAAACAAAAATAGCCACAGTGCGTCTGGACACATTGCATGATCCACAGAGAAGCTTTGGCTTCCAAAGAAATGAGTCCTGGTTTGAATATTGTGTTAACTACGGTTGTAACCGTAGTAAATTATATAAAAATGAGACCCCTGAAATCAAGAATCTTTTCCGCACTTTTCCGCACTTTGTAAAGACATGGGTGTAGTACATTCAGCGTTATTATTTTATTGCAAGGCAAGATGGTTATCACGAGGGAAATTTTTGCAACGTGTTTATGAATTAAGAGTAGAAATCGCCATTTTCCTAGAAGAGGAAAAAAGACCGGAAGCTGAGAGTTTTCGTGATAGTTTATTTGTGATGAAATTGAGCTACATGGTCGACATATTCGAGAAATTAAATAACTTGAATCTTCAACTGCAAGGAGCAAATACACATATATTGGATACGAGTGATAAAGTTAATGCTTTTTGTAGGAAATTGGAATTGTGGAGCAGAAATTTAAAGCAAGAAAACTTAACAATGTTTGCAAATTGGAATGGTTGTATGAAAACTTACAAGGCTGAAGAACAACATGTAAAAGTTCTTTTTGTTACCATTGAAAATCATTTAGCAATGCTAGCAAATAATTTTAAAAAGTACTTTCTTGCTGACGACAAACTGATATCAAGCTATAAGTGGGTGAGGGATCCATTTCAAAATACTCCCGAAGGACACTCAATTGAAGAGGAAGAAACCTTCATAGACTTCACGGCAAGCGGGGAAACCAAAAGACAATTTAGTAATAAATCACTCTTTGAATTTTGGGCAGGAGTGGGTGATGAGTTTTCTGCCCTAAAAACAAGGGCAGTTCGCATTCGACTACCATTTTCAACATCTTACCTTTGTGAAACTGGATTTTCTGCTGTGGCTTCTTTGAAGACAAAATATAGATCTCAGCTAAATGTAGAAAAAGAACTGAGCGTGTCTATTTCTAATATTAAACCCTCCTTTGAAAAACTTTGCTCTGCAAGACAGGCCCAAGGAAGTCACTAATAGTTATTAAATTTGTTTTTAATTTAGTAAGTTTATCAGGACTTATGTTCCTCTTTACTTGCTTTTGGAAACATGAACTGTCCTGACTCGGAACAGGGAGCTTACTCAAGCTATGTTCAATAAATTGTGAAGCAGACAATACACACAGGAAGGGTATACGAAACCCTTTATTTTTCTTTCTTTACAGAGATTTCCGGAACTTCGGAATACAGAGACCAATCACTTGTGGTCTGAACGTAAGAATATAAAACTACTAACTAAAACTCTAACTAAAACTAACTTTGGATTAATATGCAAGTGCCTAGCTTTAAGATTGGCCGTTATTTAACAAAATCCGTATGTAGTACAGAGAGCTGCTAAAACTACGATACGTTTGAAGTTATCAAGAGGACTAAACCTCTTGCCTTGAAGGCAACCAGCAAACGAGTAAAACTACTATGGCAAGCGGCTTGCTTCCAAAAACTCCTTCCTCTCTCTTGCTTGGCAAAAAGCCACAACTTAAGTACTTGGCGTTAGCAAGACAAATTTGCATAAATAAGTTAAACCTTTTAATTCTGGCCGGAAGTAGAAAATAAGAAGTGATAGTAAAGATTTAAAATAAAATAAACGTTAGTAAAACTTAGGATCCTTACAAGTTGTTTTAATTTAATAAGTTTAATTATTAAATATGTTGAAATGTATTTTGTTTTGTATGTGTGTTTGTGTTCTTTCCTTTCGGTCACTTAATCAATTTTTTTAAATAACATTTTCTCTTGGATATCCTCGCGCCCCCCTAGGGGGCAGCGCTCCATAGGTTGAGAATCACTGCTCTAGACAACATTTAGTACACGCTTCCAACAATTCAATCGAGGAATAATATTGACTGCTTGGTCAAGGAATTCACCACAGCAATTCAGAATGCACATAGCAGTGCTCAAAAAGAAATTAAAAACCAAAGAGTTAAGACGTCTCAAGAGCTGAGTCAGTTAATTAAGAGGACGAATGCCGCCAGAAGGCAGTATCAAAGAACTAGACACCCAATGGATAAAGTCATGTTTAATAGACTCTGCGATGCAGTCAAGTCCCACACAAATTATTCTGCACAACGCCGCTGGACTCAGTACCTTGAATCACTCTCCACAGATGACAATTCTCTGTGGAAAACTATTAAAAGGTATACAAAATGCTACAATTCCATTCCCCTTAAAGGCCCTCAACGGATCCACTACACTGAAACTGAGAAGGAAGAACTTTTAGCTCAGTTTCGCACTAACAACATTCACGACACTCCTACAGAACAGTTAATAACTTTCACGCCAATTACATAGCAAACCCACGCACATACAACATCATTCCAGTCTTACCGTCGGAAGTCTGTAGCTACATAAAAAATCTGAAGAAAAATAAAAGTCCTTGATATGACAAAATTACTAACCAGATGGTCAAGAATTTCCCCAGGAAGATTATACTACGTTTAACCAAGATTATCATCTCATCATCAATGCAAGCATTTCCTGAATGTGGAAGGTTGCATGATCACACCCAATTCTTAAGCTCAAAAACCTGCGAACGTTCCGGAATCCTATAGACCTATTAGTCTGCTGTCTGCACTAAGCAAGATAGTGGAGCTGTCATCCTATAAGACTGAAACAGCATATTGAAAGCAACGATCTACTCATTCCGTCTCAATTGGATTTCGAAGTCATCATTCAATGACCCATCACTGTATAGATTGTGAACTAATTAATGAAGGCTTGCAACGTAAAAAGGTCACTGGGGCCTTTTCCTCGACATAGCTAAGGCTTTCGATCGGTCTGCTGGATCTCTCATTTACAAGTTACACACTCTGGGGCTCCCAGGGTACATTACCACATAATTAAATCCACCTGGCAGGTAGACACTTTTTGTCGTTCGTCAGAGGAACACTTTCTGCACCTAGGCTATCCTTGCGAGCGTTCCGCAGGGAAGTCTTCTAGGACCCTTACTTTTTAATCTACGTGAACGACATACTACTCTGAACAACACAACACTCGCAATGTATGCTGATGACGATGCGATCCTCACAAAGGCATTTTTTGAGTCCAGTTATCAACGGCTACAAAACTACATCCACGCATTAGAGACTTGGCTCATCAGATGGAAAATTAAGGTTAATGTGGAAAAAACTCACGCTATCCTGTTCACAAAAAAGAAGAAATTCACCAAAAACCTGCATTTCTATGGAGTATCAATTCCCTGGTCCAGGCAAGTCCTTTATCTTGGGGTGATCCTCAGTAAAACTCTCTCATGGGCCTGCAGCGGCAGCGCCAAACAGGCGATACGGACTTAAAAACTGTACAGAAAAGCGCCAATTGGCGAAACAGTAAACCCGTTTGGCAAACCTACAGGCTGACGGGGAGAGAAGAATTTTCCCCGGCAGTCAAGTGGAACTACTACTCAACAAATGTGTGCGTCTCTGTTTCGCGCCGAGATATGTGAACTTGTGTACTCGCATCTGTACTGTGCTCTGAATTTCTTAAGCCGTTATAATGTACCCGGCAACTGTTACTTTTCCTTATTAAATTTGATTATTAATTGTAACATGTCTATCTTAACTAAGATTTCGGCTTTCCTAGTTAATGTTAGGGATATTTTCGTATGCACGTGTTACTCACACGTACATCATTGGTGACCCTGTCCCTCGCTCCTTCTGTTTCGATCCCTAATGACTATCTGTCTCAATCTTTGTTAAAAACTAAAAATATGCCTTATTTTGATGCCAATGCTCTTCCTTATGACTGATAAAGGCTCCACCCTATTTATTTCCTCCTCCTCATTTATCGTACGGATTACACGTGGTTTATCACACTTAAGGAGGATTTACAGGTATGTGGTCAAATTTTTTTAATTATCTGTGATTGGTCTTAATTATGTTTTTGTGATATGTTTTGCTCTAAAATTTATAGTTTTTAATTTAATTATTGATTGTTTAAAATTGATCTTTGGGTAAATTTGTGCTCACACTTTTATTGAGATATTGAATGTCTTCGTTATTTTATTCTAAATTGATACTGTTTTTTGATAAGGTATAGTGCAAAAACATTAAGTTTACGATTTACGATATATTTATAATTGGCAACCATGCCAGGATCGGAAGGCCAAACCAACGAGGAATCGAATATGGCGGTTCAGGAGCCACAAATCTCACACGTGGCAGTTAAAATTCCCCCTTTATGGAAAAAAAATGTTAAACTTTGGTTTATTCAAGTTGAAAGTAACTTTGCTTTAGCGAAGATTAGTAGCGATAGTACAAAATACAACCACGTGGTTTCTTCGATAGACCCTGAAACTCTTTCCGCAGTATCAGATATTTTATTTAATCCCCCAGCGACGGCTAAATATGATGCCCTTAAAGCTAGGTTAATAGGAGAATTCTCAGATTCGGAAAGCGAGCAAATACGCAGACTTATTTCTGAATTGCATTTAGGGGACGACAAACCATCTCACTTATTGAGAAAAATGAGAGAATTAGGTGGAAACTGTATAACTGACGAATTTTTAAAATCATTATGGCTGCAAAGGTTACCTTCCGAGGTGCATGCCATTTTATCAATAAGTTCGGAATCCTTAGACAATTTAGCAAAAATGGCTGATAAGATAGCTGAAGTGCGCACGCCAACGAACAACAGCGTGTTCGCGGTCCAGGCAGCTTCGGCGAGTTCCCCCAGAAACCCTAACGATTCTGGTGCCCCCCTCGAGGAGCTTAAGGCCTTAAGGAGTGAAATCTCTGCCCTAAGTAAACAAGTCGAGCGACTCTCCCGCGGAAAAACGAGGAATAATTTCCCCCGGGATCAACATAACAAAGCACGTAGTTTTTCGCGTGGGCATTCCCGAGAGCGTGTGAACAATTATTGTTATTTTCATTCGCGATTCGGTAATAATGCACGAAAATGTCGAGCACCTTGTTCCTTTTCTCTTTTCTCAGAACACTACGGCCCAGGAAAACTAGTAGTAGCGGCTGTCGATCGAAATTCATCGGCAGTCGCGCATTCATGTCGTTTACATGTTTACGATAACAGATTAAATTTAAACTTTTTGATTGATTCGGGCTCGGATGTTTCATGTGTGACACCGACTTCTAAGTTTAAGAAAATGCATCCTGATTCGCTTCAATTATTTGCCGCGAATAATTCCAGAATTTCTACGTATGGAACAAAATTGTTAACTGTGAGTTTAGGACTTAGACGAAACTTTTCTTGGAAGTTTTTAATCGCCGATGTACCAGTGCCTATAATAGGAGCCGACTTTTTAAGGCATTTTGATCTTTTAATCGATTTAAAACGAGGTAGGCTTATCGATAATACTACGAAATTAACTCGTATTGGTTCTCTTTCCGATTCTAAAAATTATTTTTCGGTAAAGTTAATATCTGGTGATTCACCATATCACAGAATCTTGAAAGACTTTCCTAAAGTACTGAAGTTAAAATCCGATTCGGGTAGAGTAAAGCATAGTACGGTTCATTACATCGAAACATACGGTCCTCCTGTGCACAGTAAACCGCGTAGGTTAAGCCCTAAGTTATACGAAGCAGTAAAAAAAGAATTTCAATTTATGATAGATCAAGGTATTTGTAGACCATCAAAATCAGCATGGTCATCACCTCTTCATGTAGTTTCTAAAAGTTCGGGCGACATACGGCCAGTAGGAGACTACCGAAAACTAAACGCGTGCACCGAACCCGACAGATACCCTATCCCGCATTTACAAGACTTTAATAATACGCTTAGCGGAAAGACAATTTTTTTCAAAAATTGATATCGTTCGGGCATATCATCATATACCAGTCCATCCAGATCATATACCGAAAACTGCAGTTTGCACCCCATTTGGTCTTTCGAATTTCCGTTTTTAAATTTCGGACTGTGCGGAGCAGCTCAAACCTTTCAAAGGTTTATGAACGAAATTCTTGGAGATCTAAAATTCGCCTACGTCTACTTAGATGATATTTTGATATTTAGTCATACGGAAGATGAGCATAA